AAGTTGAAGATCAAACGAGGTGGAGGTTGCAGGTACTGGTTGCCCAGGGGGGACATGTCAGCGGGGACGCTGTTGGCCGAATTCAGTTGCGAGAGGTTCTGGGTGCTCAGAAAAGACTGGTCTGAGGGGTACCCTACAGCTGGTTGCAGGTAGCGGCCGCTGAGAGGGGTCACGTCACCGGGGGAGCTGAAACCTGAGACTGGCTGAGAGATGTTCTGGGGGCTGGGAGAGGCCAAGTCGGAGGGGTAGCTGAAGGCTGCTGCTGGTTGCAGGTAACGGCTGCTCAGGGGGGACATGTCTGAGAGGAAGACGGAAGGCAGCTCTGAGAGGTTCTGAGTGCTGGGAAGAGACACGTTCGAATTCATGTCCACCGTGTATGTTCTGCCCATTGGGGGGCTTGCGAGGCCGGAGTCAGGCGGGTAGAAGGAGCTGGAGCCGGAGCCCGATGGAGGTGGGGAGAAGAGAGCGAGGTGTGGGTGCCAAGGGACGGGGCACTCGTAACAGAAGCCTCGGGGACCGGATCTCTGCAGGGAGTCGTTGGGATTAGTGTCGGGGATGGAAAAGTTTGGGCAGAAACCGTCATTCACTGCAAAGAACAGAGAGAGGCTCCACTGAGCGGGTGTGTCACACGGGCCCCTCGGGCGGGTGCTGCGGCCAGGCCTCGGGGGCGGTTTCAGGCCGACGTGGGTTCGCCCCCCCATCTTTCTTCTGCGCACGGCCACTTGCACTGCTCCTCAAGGGCCAGCAGCGCCCCTTGCCACAGAGGGGCGGGGGCAGCCCCCCGCAGTCTGTCCCGCAGAGGCCCCGGCCACTGGCCTCCCGTTCGCTCTGCAGGCGGCTCCCAGCCGCTGCCGGCGTCCTCCTGCGGGGCGGGCTGATCTCAGACCTCACGGTGGGAACCGCGTGCGTGCGCCATGCAGGCGGGTTCTGGGGTGGGCACGGCGACCCGCGCCACCCACTGCATCGAGTCGGGGTGCCGCTGCCCCAGACCCCCTCGCCCTGTTTAGAGGGCCCATCTTGAAGCCCCGTGTGGCGCACAGCCCTCCAGAATTGCGCAGTGGGGCCCGGGCCTCCCCCGGGGCACCTGCCAGTCCCGCTTTCCTCAGTTCCCGGGCCCTCTTGCTCTCAGGCTCATCGGCACTAAGTGTGGGGGTTTCGGGCGAGCCCCCACACGGCGCACCCTGCCATGCGACGCCGCGGAACTGATGGCGGATCGGCCCACCCGGCAGCGCGCAGTCTGACGGAGCAGTCCAAGCAAGCGCCGCCTCGGATGTCGGAGCCGGGAACTGCTGCGCTGCCCGCGCCGGGCCTTCCTCGGGGGATGCCGCTGCAGGACTGGCTCGGCCCTTCCTGGTGAGGATGGCGAGCAAGCTTTGGCTCCCGGCATCTGGTCTGTGCCCGCCTCTTCCGCCACAGCCGTCCAGCAGGGGTGATGGAGCCAGCCCGGCAGCGGGCCTCCGCCACCCCCACGCAAAGGGCCCGCCAGGGGGAGAGGCTGAGAGGGCGACTGCGCTGCCTACAAAGGGTGCGCAGTGCGTGTGCTCAGGCCACACGCGTGCCATTGCAGGCTGAAGCCCGGCAGGGGGCATGCGCAGGGCGTGCGCTCAGGCCACACGCGTGCCATTGCAGGCTGAAGCCCGGCAGGGGGCATGCGCAGGGCGTGCGCTCAGGCCACACGCGTGCCATTGCAGGCTGAAGCCTGGCAGGGGGCATGCGCAGGGCATGCCCGCTGTCTGGGAGCAACAGGCACCGATCCCGGATATCATCCCAAGGAGTCTCCTTCCCCTCCCCGTCGCTTTCTTTTAACAGCTCTTGCTAAAAAGCAAGCGGACAAAGAGAAAGCAAAACATGCAAACGGGACGGGACGGGACGAAGCCTGCTTCCTGGCAAGGCACCCCCTCCTTGCGTCTGCCCTGGCACGTCTCGTGGCGGCGCACGTGCTATTTCCCTGAGAGTCTCGGTACTGGGGCAAGCGCAAAGTATGCCCTCTGCTTCTTCCTGGGAAAAGGGTGCTGCTTCGGGGGGCGGGGGGTCGACGGGACTTTGAGGGTCGGTACGCTGATCCCACCGTACGTGTGCGAGGTCAAAGGTTTCCCTGCAGAAGCCCCGAGGGCTCCCGCG